TGCAAGTGACGTAACTGTGACGTCTACTCTGAATTGGTCTATTGGTTACAATTCCAGCATTATAACAACCCTCCTATAAACTCAGAAGCGCTCTGTGTTCAGGCCTCGGTCGTGCGTGTCGTTTCACAGCTGTCTCTCATGTTCAGGCGTCCAGGAGAAGATGGGCATCATGAACCGAGGGGTGGTGTACGGCCTGTGGGACTACGAGAGCGCGCAGGACGACGAGCCGGCCTTCAAAGAGGGCGACTGCATGACGGTACTGCGGCGGGAGGACGAGGACGAGACCGAGTGGTGGTGGGTGCACATGGCCAGCCGAGAGGGATACGTCCCCCGAAACCTGCTGGGGGTAAGTGACGGCCTCCGAGACTCACGTTCACACGGGACACTCAGAAATGACTGGGGGAGGAGCCAGTTATCACCCTTTTCACACTATATAAATGTCTAAAAACGTGAAAGATTTATTGTATGTTTTTTTTTACTCAAGAAGGTTGTAGTTTAAGATCTGATGACATTTAGTGTAAAAATGTGCACAAATACAGAACATAATCCTCAGCACTGTAGTTCAATGACTTTAATATTGCTTCATTAAAGCCTGCTTTTCAAAATATGCATGCAATGTTTGCAAATCTAAAATGGATATTTCCAACCGATGTACTAAAGCAGAATACATAAACTGTCTGAAAATAAATGTTTTTGTGAAGCATCTAATGTGCCAAAGACTGAGTTCACTGCATGTGTGTGTATTATAATTGTTGTTTTTCTTCCTCAACAGTTGTATCCAAGAATTAAACCTCGTCAGCGGAGTCTGGCTTAAGTGCTTCAGTGAGGAGAACAAAGACCATCAACGTTAATAAAGCCATCAATCCATCAACATTAGTTAACTTCCTCATGCTGGTTGTAGGACCATCTACTTGTTTGTCCCATTTGTATTGTTGTTGTTGTTTTTTTGGTGTTGCTGTTGATATGTTACAGTAATGGCCACTTTGTCTTTTTTTTTTTTTTTCACACAAAACAATTGAATAGAAATTAGCTGTTTAGAATGTACTTTATATTTGTATATCAAGAATTTTTCCACTGAGAAAAAAAATTTAATAGTGACCTGTGTTTTGCATCACAGGTATTTTGCATATGCTGTCCTTTCAGTGCTTTATTGAAAGGGAAGTGAAAGGAAATTCATAGTGTTGGAGATCTTCTGAATCGTGGGTAACATTTTTCTCATGCACAATGCTTAACAAATGAAATGAACTAGTTGTACAGTGCTAGTAAAGTGGAGTCAGAACAGTGAATTTCTGGCCCAGTAGTGAATATTCAGATAGTGAGTTACATTATGTGTCCGGCACTGATCTCTCGCTTCATCCCATGACGCTCTGATCCGCAGTGCTGCAAACTGAGATGAGCGCAAGATGGGTATATTCATTTTGACAGACACGGCTTACATGATACATTATTTTCCTCTGTTCAGCAAATGTAACCTGCATTTTTACATCTTCATCCTCATGAGTTATTGGACAAATCAGCTGGAGGTTTAACATGATCAAAAAAAATTATTAAACACTGTGAACTGAGTTCTCATGAATACTGTCGTCTGTGAAGTGGGTTTTGTGAATATATAGTAAGACATATATTATGCTGTTTTTCTGCACATGATTAATAATTCTGTTCTGATATTAATGGGTGAGAGTCAGCATCTGCTCGAGAGTGAATGATTTGTGCTATTAAATGGAGCTTCGATGGGTTTTTACAGAGCTTTTTCACATCTTGATTTTCAATCATTTGCACTTTAAAATAAGCTTCTAAATGTCTGTTCAGCAGTTCCTGTTTACCAGAAGACAATTTAGTAATTATGATATTTCTAATTTAGTGGTAAAGCATTTGCAAACATTTTACAAAATACACATACTCCCCAATACAGTGAGAAACATTCTGTTTTACTACCAAATCACATGTAATATCTATAATTCATTTCACTTGCACTAAAAGTTTCCTCATGCCATGATTTTGGTGCACATGAGTTCCTGAACATAATGAATGATGGGATACGCCTGGCCTCGAATACAGCTCTGAAGCGTTACTAGAGATAGTGTGGATTTAGTGTGTTGA